AATTTAATTTTGATGATTCAGGTGACTGCTGTTAAGTTGTAAAGAAATATGGGCCAGGATTCGACTTGTTCCTTCAACAAAATTTCGCGATCGTTTCCTAAAGATGTGGTGATGCGTAACCTCATCCTGAGTTCTAAGACCTGAAGTTTCTCTTCTCTGGTTTATCAGAACGCCTAACGAGCATGGCAGCACGCTTCGCAGGACCCTACGCTAGTTGTCCATATCAGTGATTTTGCTATAGGATTTCATTTCTATCCTCTTTCTTTCGTAGAGCTGACACAGGTTGACCGTACATGGTGATTTTGTTTGATGTAATCTTCGAGGTTATAGCTAATCCTTTTAGAGAACTTCTGCTATTTATCCTGGTGCACTCTTATTTCTATTCGTAGTGAGAATTTGGAGCACCAAAGCTATGGTTTTCTTTGAGCTCCTAAAAATGGCTTCGATGCTCATGGTAGAGCCATCAGGCAGAAAATTCTGGCCTTCACTCGCGGAGGAAAAGGGAGCAATTCAAACCGTAACTTTATTAGAATTACCATACACCGTACAAGTCCTACCATCGTTGCTGGATGGACAAAAAAAAATTCAACAAAAATGAGACTTCCGAGGGGTGTCATATGATTTTGCAACGGCTACAAAACTATCAAAAATTATAACAGATGATCGAACTTGTGGTATAGATTATTATTAGAGCGATTCTGATTCCACCAGTTGCGATGGACGGCTTTTTCTAGAAGCCGAGATATTCACATTATTGGGGGGTGTCCTATGATTTTGCGACGCACTGTATTCAGCTTATCGGGAGTTACAATAATGGAAGTTGACCGAACAATCGACCGAGAAAGCGGTTCGCGTTCAAGTGGTTTCAACATGAGTTTGCACGGTGGTTGTTCCTATGACACACATGCTTGTATTGCGACTAATTTGTATTCACTTCTATTACTTTTTTCATCTACTTCAGGTTAATGAAAAGAAAATGAAGAATGAACAGAACGGATGTTTTCTTAAGGTCCAAAAAACCTTCTCCAAAACTAAAGAATTTTATTCTGGTGAGCAGTGCTGGAGTTTATTAGGTTGTATGCTCTATATAGTGGGGGCGGGCTACAATGTGTCATACGGTACTCCACGTTCCCGAGGCAACATATACTCCACTGTAAGTGATATCTGGCTTGATAAGTGATAGAAAGAAATAAAAAAGCGAAAGGAATAAAGACTTACGATCGATCAGCTGCGATAGCAGTTATTATATTTGGGAGGACATCGGAAATACCAATAAGTCTTAACTTCTCCTGTAATTGCATAACACATTTTACAGGAACAATAATGAAGCATCTGGAAATCAATACCTCAAGCGAAATAGTAACAGATCTTGTACTATACTAGTTTCTTTGGAACTCAATCTCTCAGCGCAGTGCTCCGGGGGGGCGTCACGCGCGCGGGCTGTCACAACAGGAAAGTCGAACATTCAGCATTCAACGCTTCATTGTGGCGCTCACCCACCCCTGATTGGCAACTCTCCCTGGCCTACGATTTCCTTGTTGCCGCACGAGCGCGCGCGGGCGACGCCCCCCCGGACATTGGCCGTCTTCATCTTCGGACGAAGATATGCGACGCTGTGTGAAAGGTGTTTTATTAAATTTATAAGTAAAAATCTGTAGTCCACTATCATTCGGATACGACGATCGATCATGATGCAGTTTCTCGGCGAACTAGTGTGAACTCGAACATTCCAGCTTTTCACGCATGTCAAGTGACTGCCCCCACCCCCTAGACTGGCTACACTCCCCCTGGCTCGGAGTTACCTAGCTTTCTGGAAAAACTGCATCATGATGCCCCCTAACTGGAATAGACCCCAAAGCCGTGATATCAAGAAGGAAATAGGTTCTTAAGGTATAAGAGTTCAACTCCTTTCTTCCCCTTCCTACCTGACTTTGGACTCATTTGGTCGGATTACTGGCCGCACTTCGGAGCACACTACTCCCATAGAACGGTACGGCGCGAACAACGTCGAGTCTGTCCGACGCATTGTGCCTGGATGAATGACTTTATAAAACACAAAAAAATGAAAAGGGAAGAATTAAAAAAACAACCGGAACAACGATGAGGAACACCTTCCAACGGAACGGAAATGGAAAATGGCGAAAACTACAAGTGCCGAGGAACCATTTAAGGAATGACCAACAAGAGTGGAAACATGGCTATCTAAGTGCAAAAAGAAATGAAAGCACAAGCTGGCAAAGCGCCAACGGAGTTGCAAAGTGCGCTCCGTTGAAGTGTCTCGCTCCGATGCCGATTTTGCCGTTGGCGCAGATTTTGACGCAGTTCGTCCCCAGTTTTCCTATTTTCGGCGTTCCAATTTCACTTTCACTAAGTTTGTGGGAAGGGTTTCTCAGTGCTTCAAGTGCCAAAGTGCAGGCATTGCTTTACGGTCTCGCTATTCAGGTCTCTTCACTGGATAGGTTCGACTTTGAGATTGCCGCTAATCTGGTTTAAACATTTCACACAATATTCCTGCCACGTGTTTGTCGTAAATCACTTCTCGTTCAGTTGCTTGTGTATGTTCAACGTTTCCAAAGTGTTAATGTGATGTTCTACTTGCTGATCTGTTTCGACAGAATAGACCTATCAAAATCGCCTCAGACTGCAGCCAACTGTCACATTAGGCTGGTGTCAGAGTCCGCTATCTGTCGTGCGATTTGCGCGAATTGCGCGGTGGATCGCATTGAGCCATATGCTTTTGCGAATATACCACCAAAAGCCGGTTTGAAGTATTATAAAACAAACACTGGCGTGGTGCTCTTTGAGGAGGTTAGCTATGCTATCCGGCAAGCACGAGGCACAAATGTGATCGGGGTCAAACATCCGATTTTCGGTTTTAGAACTTTCGCGACTCATCCCTCAACGGTCGATGGTCCTCAAAGTCCCCCACAATTGCCCTCAAGTGGGGGAAGGGAGCTTAGGTAAGCATAATTATTGCAGATGCATGTACCTATCCATTCTGCTAATTTCTTCCACCTCTACGACCTCTCTAAGGAACTCCAAAATACGACCTCCCGTTCGAAAATTACAGCTACCTCCCCCCCCCCCCTTAGTTGATCTTGGCAGAACGAACGGTTGACACTGGGTACGATTCCCAGCTGGGGTAGAGTGTTTTGACCTTAGCTCATCAACCTCCTAGCATATGGTCCACTGCCACTGTCCTCCATCCTGTGAGCAGTAACCTAATATTCCTTGCTTTTGTTGGGGCACGTTTTGATCGTTCAAATTCGATCTGTTGTTTCTTCCTTTCTCTGTACTGTAATGTTGATTGTTTGTAAACAATTATTTTTCATAATATCAAGTACTGCTATCTAGAAAGCAATGGCCAAATAAATAAATGGTGTTCCATTAGAAAGTTCGCTCGTTGCGAAGTTTATGCCGATCATTGAGCTCAAATAGTAATAAGCTCAAATAATAGAGTATGTTGATGTTCGAATCAAGGGTGCTGGTACCCATGCCTTCCCATCTTTTTCGGAGTGACCTTTATTACAATCGGACTATGATTAACTAAATGCTTAAAGCCATCCTTTCTGCGGCTAGAAAAGGCAAATCGCATGAGTGACTCAGTGTGCATTATCGCTGTTGCGATTCTTTCTAAATGTTTCTTTACTCGTTACTCCATTACTTATCACACCTGCGCTGTGTTCTACTCTTTGGCCTGTTTTTCTCTATCGTCAACTAAGGTTTTGTATGGCCTTCGCTCTTATGATATTACTGAATCGTCACTTACCTCAAATAACTATTCGATATTTCAGGGAACACTAATGGCATCATCCTCAGGAACGCGATACTCGCGGCTCAAAGACAATGATGACGAGGAGGCAGGTGGTAGCGCATTTGAAGAGATTTTAATGAAACAAGAGGTCAGTGGCTCACTATTGTTCCTTTGTTGATTTTCTTTTCGCCAAATGGTCCTATAAAGTCTCCTCTATTCTGGGATGCCCAGTCTTGACCCAAGTAGATGTATACTGAACTTATAGTTCATCACCTCAGGATTATTGTCGGGCACATCTGGCCCTCTTCCGAGCTCTCCTTGTGTTTTACCGCCTCGGAGTTATTGTTGTGTACCCTGGCACTCTTTCGTGTTATCATTGCTAGTTTTTTTCTTCCCGTTTTATACGGTGTTATGTCTGAAACGAGTAAAGCAACCTCTTGGCACTTCTCACTTTTGTCGACTTACTGAAATACCCTCATAGTGTCAGAAATTGAGACAACGCACCTTTAGAGGTGTTTTCCAATGGATGAAAATTCTTTTTTCCACATTTTCGAATGCTCGTGTTCATTTTTTATTTTTTTCTGTTCTACTACTCCCGCGCTCTTTCCCTGTTTTGTAGGATCTTTTCTTGTAAAGATTAGCTTTATCATACTTTTGAGTGGCAAATTTATTGTGAAATTGTTTTTTTTTTAGCAAATTATTCGTGAACAAGATGAAGATCTCGTACTCGTTGGAAATTCGGTGACCACTTTGAAAAACATGAGCTATAAAATAGGCGATGAGCTTGACCAACAAGCTGTGTGAGTTTTTCATACTTGGTATCATCGCAGCTCTTACAATTGACATTGGTCATGTTTGCTGTTTTCAGAATGTTGGATGACTTAGGACAAGAAATGGACACGGTTGATACGAAATTAGACAGTGTTATGAAGAAAATTGCAAAGCTAACTCATATGGACGATGGTAAGCGTTCTGAGACTCCGTTAAATTTACTCATACTCTTACAGTTTTTAATCTTTATGATTTTCCCACTAGACATTGAAGGCAAAACTGGCGATGAGGTGATTCTGTTGAGATGTGTATGTAGAGGTGCTAAATCGTGCGTTCACGAACAAAAAATAAGTAAAATGATCAAAAACTGGAGAAACGGCCCCCTTTTATTCCCCTGATTTCATAAGAGTTGGCTCGATTGTTGGCGCTTCGGTGGCAGCTGCAATAATTGTCTTTGTAACATTCTGATAGTAGTCATTTTTTTAACGTTATGATCGCACTGCGTAAAAGAATCATCCATGCGTGAAAGAGAAAGCTGAAATTAATAGGTTTCAAGGTGTTACCCAAAAGTTCAGTCGCTCAGCTGTTCGCATAATGAAGAGGCGAGTCAACGCGAACATCAGCTGGTAAAACCCTGTTTTCCAGTGATAGGTGATCCTTTTAGTGTTCCTGCTCCTGGGGAAGTTTGATGTCCTACTTCTACCTACTTTGGATCATAAGCGGAGCTTTTGGCTGTTTGCTTATACGCTTATGTTCGAACTCCTGTGATACTTAGGACTCATATGCGGGGAAAGTAGCCATTGCCATCCCGATCGGTGCAGGTATTCACGTTAGGTCTTCTTCTAGGGTAAACCTCTTAGTGCGTACATCGGGCGCATGAATAAGTAAATACGTAGAAGTCATCAGAATGTGGTAACCTGTCCGTTTTTCAACAAATTGGCGACAGAAGAATACGCATGCGTCTCGCATGTCATTAGTTTCTTTACGCATGCGCGATCTCTATCACAGTTTTTTTTCGTATTTATTCTATATATTTTCGTATTTATTCTATATATCAACCCATATCTTCTGTATAAACGATGTATTCCACAGAGTGGTCGAGTATGCTTTACCTAGTAGCTAGGCTTTTCTCAGCCTTACCATTTTTTTTAGAATTCTTTTTCGTAATATTTTTTTTCTCATGAACATGTGAATAGAGACAGTAGAAGCCCAATCTATGTGTATTCCTTGAAACAGGGCAAAAATGCTCTTAATACCTATCGCAGCGAGAGCGTAATCTTTGCTTTCTCATTGCCATTTTACTTCATGGGTCAAATTTCTACTAGTGTACCCTTAGAAAACTTCTACGCGTTGTTGAAATGGCTTGATGCCGTTCATGTTTTGTGTATTTTTCACTCATGGATATAAGGTGAAATGGCTCAAAACGCGTGCTGTCGCCAATGTGTTAAGGGAGTTTGGCCATATTTGGGAATAGAATTAGAAGGTCTTCCGATAAATCCTTTTTTTACAGATAAACGGCAATGCAAACTTATCATGATTCTCAGCGTTGTGATATTCTTTTTGGTATTTTTGTTAATTGTGCTGTAGATTGCTGCTATCATTTTACTGTGATTCCTTTTCTTATAATATATCTTTCATGGTGCAGAGAAACTGCTAACTTTAAAAAGAGATCCTCGATAAGTAGCCGGTGTAGATTATAGTCTTCTTTGCTGTTCCTTTCTGAAAGAATCCATTCGTAGAATAGAACTTTTTGTTGCTTCTCACATCTTGCGTAAGTAGGCGATGACTGCTTGCACCGTCTACTATTATAAACTACAGGTGCTCATTGTGGCTATTATGATGATTTTCGATATTGAATAAATTTAAATTATAGGTAGATGTCTCGTGTTTGGCATATGTTAAGAAATAATCGTTGCCGATTGGAGCTCAAAGTAAAGGTGATAAAGTATGAACTGGTTAAGAAAGCAAAAAACAACAGAACAATTGCGCGCTGACTTCCGTTTTTGACAATTCGGTGACCAAGACTAGCTCGTTTGCATGTGTTAACGAGGATAGCGGTATCAGGCCAACAAACATCATTCTTTCATTTTTATTATAACGCATTACATAAACAAATTGGGGGAGCTTAAAATAAAACATTCCGAAACGAAGGCAAGATCATCATTCAGCCAATCACAGCCAGAGTCTTTCAGTAGGAAGTGGGCCGCGCCAGAATTGGGCCACGTTCATAGTTCGCGACTTCGGAGATTAGGATAGTACGCGACAATGAAAAACATATGTATTGACGGGAGATTAGGATAGTAGTAGAGTAGGATAGACGCTGACAGGAACAGATACGTATCGATCGGAATCGCCGAGAGTAGATTGTGGTATTACGATTTTAGGGTACCTGACAGGAGGCCCGTCGCGCGGCAAGAAGGCAGAGTCAGCGGACGAGTTGCAGCGCGTGCTGTGCGATGTAGGACGTGCAATGGGACATTCTATTTAACTTGACGCGAAATCACTACAGTACGCGCTGCGACTCGTCCGCTGACTCTGCCTTCTTGCCGCGCGACGGGCCTCCTGTCGGGTACCCACGATTTTATGATAGCATTAGAGTAGGAGTTAGGATAGTGCGCTGACAAGATTAGATATGTATTGATCTATTCGCTTGAAGTCGCCCAATCTACTACTCTCCAGCGATTTCAATCGATACGTATCCAATCTTGTCAGCGCAATCTCCTACTCTACTACTATCCTAATATCCTATCGCCTACTATCCTAATCTCCCAAGTCGCGAACTATGAGCGCGGCCTTAGGCTTAGCAACATGGTGATGTGCTTGCCTTTCGCTGTGAGGCTGGTGTCAGAGTCCGCGATCCGTCGCAGGTTTCGCTGATTTTCGCGATTTGCGCGATTCACGCGACGGGTCACGGAAATCACAAGTGCCCGATCAATACTGCAAGGTGTTCTCCAATCCTGCCGCCACTTCTGCTTGATAGTGACGACTGCTCATGATTCCACTTGTTTCATATTCAGTGTTTCAAATGTTCACACACTTGCAATTTTTGCGATCCGTCGCAGGTTTCGCGCAAATCGCGTGAATCGCGCAAATCGCGAAAATCAGCGAAACCTGCGACGGATCGCGGACTCTGACACCAGCCTAATACAGCCTTTTCTTGTTTCCCTGGATCGCGGCATCCCTTTGTGGTAGGTATATCTTCCTTCTTTCACATCCCATTCTTCGAAGGCGGTTTTCACGATGAAATGTACGGCCGCTGGCAATTACAGTAGAGGTGGTCAAAGGTGCAGAGGTAAAGGAAACCAAAGAACGGCTAGAACCCGAGAAGTTGGTCCCCCTTTTACCAGCTGATTTCCGCTTTGGACGAGCCGGCGACCAAGTAGCCGATTGCACGTGTTGATTCCGATAGCCGTTATCATGCTAACAATAATCATCCTTTGATTGATAACGTGTCATCTAGGAAATATGAAAACTACGGCTGCCCGAAATGAAATGCCCTTACAGAATAGGGCAGATGTTGGCGATGAGAAGCAGCATTCAACGTCTGTTATCTCGGTTGGTGGCGTTGCACAGGAGTGAGCAAATCGGCTTTTTGCGTTTCTGCTGGGGTCGTATGCTGAATGTTGGAAGGAGATAGGCGGTCCCCGAACTCGACGGAACTACTTGAACTCGGTCGGTTACGGTATAGGAGTGTGATGACGAAGTGGTGCAGTAGGTCCAGCAGCTCCGCCAAAAGGGCTGGTTTGCTTACCCCAGGACTAAGCCTTGGAGAGAGGACGGACCGGACCTCCTTAAGGCTTAGTCCTGAGGTAAGCATTAATTGAGGCGGTTTTAAGGACCGAGTTGAAGTAGTCCGTCGACCGTCGGAGACCCCATCCCCATCCCATCAGGTCCCCAATGCATGAAATGAGTGAAATCACAGCATTACGGTTTCTTAGTCATAGTATATTTACCCCAGTTTCCCTCCCCGCTCGACTGCAGCTTTTGAAGGGAATTTTCGGGGGGATTCTGCTGGTTCTCTATTAGCTTGTTAGCCTATTTTTGTACTCATTACAAAATTACAAAATGAGCTAGACACGCGTCCCACTGGCGGCCGCAACGTCGACCGTCGGGGCGTTACCTGCGCTTTGGATTTCGTTGAAAAGAAGTTCAGTCATCAGTGCTTGATACACTGCGGCATAAATAACTTCAACAGTGAAAAAAGGGGAACAGTTTGATGGACTTTAATATGCAGTTACATTTCTATGTTAAATGTCGGTAAATTGTTGGCCTCGAGATCAAGTAGTGAGATGATTCCGTGCTTGTTGAGATGTTTCATTTTGTGCTCCATGCAGCTCTAGATACGCGGGACGATAGAGGTACCGCAGGCTGAAATAGACATTCTCAAAATTTCATATTTTCCATATTCTTAGTATAGGTTGGCAATTTTAGCAGTGGTGAGCGAGCAGGAGATTGGTAGTAAGGGTCCGGTGTATTCAAAATCTCATCCGTAGGACCTGACCTCATTTCATGCAACTTAGATTACCGAGCTTACCATCCGGAGAATAGAAGATCTTAAATCTTCCTTTTAACATAAACGGATGCACAGTTTATAACCCTGGCGGGCCTACTTGCTCATCTCGGTCAATGATCATGCGGACAATGGATATGTCCGTCGGGTGCCTCATATCATTAGGTGGGTATCAGTATTCCCATCTCAAGGGGTCCAATTTTTTAGCTTTCCACGAAACCGATCCTTTTAACTGGTATCAGTCTCAAATCTCAACTGTTACGACTTGTTACCGATTTGCATAAAGCGCAAAAACAGACATTTTCGATATCGACCTACGGGACACGACTCCAAAAGTAACCCTGTGGCTATCTTGTTCTGATCCTGCCCCTATTCGTCTAGCTGAAGCCGTATTAGCCTACATGGGACATCTTGAAATTGAGTAGAAGTTTAACCAGTCAATATAGAGGTTGGCAAAGCACATGCGCCATTTTCCAGTCCTAATAGGGCGGGCCTTGCCATTAGATGTTTTGTCAGGTCCTGGTTCACTACCGTTCATGGTAGCAAAGACAAACCCATTCACCTGCGTTAATAACATCACCCACCATAATATTTTGCATATTTTAGAATAAGAGGAGTGCAGAAATTACGGTAAAAATGAATCGATCGTAGATCTGAATAACTAAAAAAATACAAGTAGAAAACAAAAACATGTTCACTGAAGGGTAATAAACGAAAAACCACATGGGTCTTTTGAATAGCTACTATCCGCTTCGAAAAAGAAGTGAAGTCTTTTTTCCAGTCTTGATGTCGCGGAGTGAGCTGACTGCGGCGTGTTGATAGACGGCCTTGAGTGCGTTCCAGCCATTATGAAGCGGTTTCTTGAATCCATGAAAGGAAGCGGTCACGCTGGCTTCCACGTGGATTAGTTAGTGGTGTCGGTGCAGTATGATAGGTGCGACAGTTATTAGGATAGTAGTAGAGTAGGAGATTGCGCTGACAAGATGGAGTATGTATCGATTGAAATCGCTGGAGAGTAGTAGATTGGGCGACTTCAAGCGAATAGATCAATACATATCTAATCTTGTCAGCGCACTATCCTAATCTACTACTATCCTAATCTCCTACTCTACTACTATCCTACCTATCGTAATATCGCAATCTACTACTCTCCAGCGATTTCAATCGATACGTTATTAGTTGTTCGGTCGCAGATTCTCTCACTCTATCCTAATCTACTACTAACTATACTCCCCTCGATACTATGTTTTTCATCGTTCGGCGTGACTATCCTGACTCTGTCGCGGGAGTTCGGCGAACTATGTAACTCGGCCTTACCTTATGCGGAGATCGAAACATTAGGTAAGAAGGAATCGGCTACTAGGAATGGACGCTGCACTTCAGCATGAATAATAACGATAGCGGATAACCGTATTCACATAGCACGGTGCTATTGACATCCTTCCAGTCTGGATGAAGGGGTGTAACGTCCGAGCGATACTTGATTTGGCGCGCTTATCACCCGTGATAAGGCGCACGCCCGTGAAGGTCACCGTGTGCCATTGGATAGAACCTATCCAATCACCCACTATGTCACTATCCTTATCGTCTCCATAGGAATTTTCGTGACTACTTCCTTTTAACGTCTCCATGATCTCAGCAACAGGTGCTCGTCTTCATCACTCTTCATACAGCGTAAACCAGTAGACTTGAATTAGGAACTCTGGATGGCCACTTTCCAAACGCAATAATTCTGAGCAGCCGGCAAGAACTTCGCACAAATTTCCTCCTGTGACGGCCACAGAAGTGCTCAATGAGGTAGTTCCCTCGGGTGAAGGAATTATTTTAGTAAGAAAAAGTTTGAAATAATCTTTTCTTTCAATTTTATGCTTTGTGAAAAAAAGTCAAAAGTGACGTGATTTTCGGTTTGATCACCGCAAAAACCTTCACTGTTTCCGGACCAATGATGTCTGAGATATTGAGCTTTGGCTTGTTTGAAATGCAGTTTTTGTCGCTCTATCTATTCAAGACTAACTCGACTGTGAGTACTTCCTCATCAGCGAAAAAGGTTGGCAATATGAACTGAGACAACGCCTCC